ACTCGGACTGATCAAAGCTGCTCGAGCACAACTGGCTGTAGAAGGAGGCCCACAAAATGACGTCTTGCACGGCGAGGAACAAGATCGCCACAGAGAAGCCGAAGGAGATGTCAAAGGCGCTGCTGGATGACATTCGACTGAGTGGGGGATTATTCACAGCCTCCAGCAAAGCAGGAGCGGGAATGACGGAGGCTCTTCGCTGCGCGGAAGAGGATGACATCCTGTTCGGAAAAGTACACGGCCATGAACGCAAACCGCGAAGAGGCGAGTTGGAAGAGAACGAACGAGAGATGCGCGACATGGGCGACTACAGGACGGCGAAGGGAATGGGCGAGCTGCAGCCAGAGTATCTCAAGGCGCTGGATGTCGTGGACAAGTGAAGCGACAACGCGCAGCTGTTCAACGTATGCAGGAGGGGCGCTGGATGGGGCGATAAGAGGGGGGGAGCTGGCTCGCGCGGGCTCGCCTTCCCGAACAAGCTGTGGCGGAGAGGCCCCAGTCCCCACTCGAGGAGCGACAAGTGGCAGTTCTGGCGCAAGCTGGGCTGGTCGCAGCTGGCGGGGGCGCAGGAGAACCACCCGAAGGACGTGCTCTTGGCGGAAAGGGTGACCAAGATGATTAAAACGTCCGGACCAGGCCGCGAAACATGGCAAGATATCGGGCGCGGCTGCAAGTTCTTCCCGTTCAAGAGCGGGCCATCGATGGCGGCGGAGCCCCAGGTGGGAACCGCGTGGCAAGAGCCCATTGCGGACAGGCTCCCGCGGCAACCCGACGACGCCGTCAATGCGCGCCACTGCGAGTTCCTCGACGCGGCCAAGAAGATGACACCAGAGGAGCGATTCGGCATGCTCCCACAGCCCTTCCCGATGACGCGCGAGATCGAAGGCTGCGACATCGTCGCAAGGTACCCAGTGAACCAGTGAGGGAGGTCAGGGAAGACCGCCTTCACCGCGCAGAGCTGGCGCGAGCTAGCGCTGAAGATTGCGAAGAACGGCGCTCGGAACTTTCTCGAGGCAATGAAGGTTGCCAGTCGGGGGATGAAGAACGGGGACAACATGGGCCAATAGGAAGTGAAGGGGCGGAAGAGGCGCCAGAAGCTGAACTGCACCACCCAGACTATGCATGCTGGATGGCACCGAGATCTTCGCGGAGAAGCGCGGCTACCCCAAGTCGGAGGAGACGACGGCGGCCAGCTCAACCGGCCACCAGTGAGTGTACCCACTGGAGCCTGCGGATTGCCAAGAGGAAGCATTTGCGAGGCATCTCGGAGTGCTGATCTAGGCAAGGAGCGAGCTGGCCGTGCCCACAAACAGTCAGGAGGAGCATTGGCGAGGTTTCTCGGGGTGCAACTATGACGGACAGCATGGGCACAACAGTGCGCCTGCACCGCCATCGCAATGGGAAGTCGTTTTGGGGGGATTGCCATCAGGTGCACAACTGCAGGGTGCGGAAGGAGAAAACAGTGATCATCCAGATGCCCACCAGTCTGCTCTTCATTGGCCCTATCTATGGCCGTGACTGCAGTATGCTCTACTTCGTACACTCCGAGAAGGAACCTTGGGCTACTTCACAGGGTGCCAGAGTACATATGTGACAACACATGGAGCATCTTTCGGAACGACCGGGAAGTGAGCTGAGTGGGAGAGGGGAGCACGGCATTCCGACTGTAGAGGTAGGAGCCCCCCCCCAGCAGCAGTTTGGGTTCTCGGGCTTTCCGTCTCTCCCCCCTCTCCTCCCTTCTTTTGAGGTCGTGTCGTCGTCTCCTCCCCCCTTGACATGGGCGCCCTGCTAAGCCCGCGCGTCCCCACCCCCCCTGGGCACGCGGAAGGGCCAGCAGCTGCTCCCCCCGCACTGGCCCGATGGGACCCGCGATGTAAGGTAGCGCCCCTCTTACGGGGCCACCTCGGAGCTCGGTCCCTGAGCTACGGGACACGCCCCCCCTGCAGGCCTTAGTGAGAAAGCAGGGTTGCAGCGCAACAAATCGCAGGGGATTTTGGTACTAGCGTGTAGAGCGCCCGAGTAGGTGCTCTGCCGTTACCCCATTATGCGGATGTCCTTGTCCTTGTCCTCCTCCTCTTCCTCCTCCTTGCTTCCTTCCTCCTCCTCCTCCTCCTCCTCCTCCTCCTCCTCCTCCTCCTCCTTCTCCTCATCGACGAGTTCGGCCAGATCCGGGCCCCCTTCCCAGGAGGAGCACGTGCAGCCCTCGCGGGGCTTCCCGCTGCAAAAATGCTCTGCGCGCACGCGGGCGTTGCCAGCCGCTTCAGCGCAGCTTTGGAGGCCCCCCTGCAGTTACAAGCCTCGAGCGTCGCCAGGGGGGCCTCTGCGGGCGGTCCGGGGGGCCGAGCGGTGCTCTTTCGGACCAGCTTTCCTGTCCCTCCTCGCATCGTCAACGTGCGTTCTTACACTCCCCCTTTTCGCTCCCCCCGCCGTCTCCCAGCTCACTTCCCCTTCCTCCTCCTCCTCCTCCTCCTCTCCTCCTCCTCCTCCTCCTCCTCCCTCTCCTCCCCTCCTCGTCCTCCTCTTCCTCCTCCCACCTCCTCTGCCTCCTCCTCCTGCTCCCTCCTCCTCCTCCTCCTCCTCCTCCTCCTCCTTCTCCTCTCCCCTTTCCCTCATTCACGCGCTCTCCTTTCAAGGGGCAGCATCTGCTCTACCACCCTCCCGAGCCAGGACTTACCGTATCGACCCCCTTTTCTGGGACACCGCAAAATGTTTAGACTGCTGACCCATCGCTATGTTGCATGCTAGTTCGCACCAGCCATGCGAGTCCGTATCGACCCTCCTCCCTCCCTCATCCCCGTCAAATAATACTATGTGCGCGCACTCGTGTTTTTTGTGTTTAATCAACAGCTCGTGTTTTCACTAATCCCTTGCGACAGTTGGGACGTCGTCCACACGCGCGCGTCGTCGCGCGCATGTCGAAATCCTTCCCAAACCTGAGTCTTCGTAAGGATTTCAAGATCGAAGTTATCGAAGCCATATGAAGGTTTGTTCCAATATTGACTTCGTAACCAAATCTGCGCGGGCTCTTGCGAATTCTTGGGGGATACATGCGCGTGTTGGTCAACACCTTCCTCAAATGAGACCACGTGGCCTCGTCGTCATGCGCGTGCGTCGGCCGCGCGCGCATGTCGAAACCCTTCCAAAACCTCACCAGCAGCACATGGACACTGCGTTGCCAGCAGTGGCGCTGTCATTGCCTTTGCCGTCGCCATCGCCATCATCGACAACACGATCGCTACTATCATCATCGTTGCCGCCGTTGGCGACGTCATCATGATGCCGCACCCACCCGAGCCACTGACCCGCATTCGCCTGCCGGCGTGGCCTTTTTACGTTCGTTGGCCGCTCTGAGCGCGAGCTTGCGCGCGCCAGCGCGGCCGCAGAGATGCGCTGGCCATTGCCAAGCAGTCATTGCAGTCGCCGCCGCATTGGTTTTGCAAACGAAGTTGCGGGTGGGAGAGGGGGGGAAGAGATTGCGCGAGCAGTGGGGTAGTCAACTTCAAGTTCTGAAAGGTATTTTTTCTTACAGAATATTTCCCACTTCACCCCCCTCCCGTTCCTCAACTCACTTCTGTTCTCCTCTCTTCCGTTACTCCGTCTGGAAGATGATTCGCCTTCCCCGCGTATTTCTTAAAAGCTGGGTTGGGCAGCGGTGATATGTGTTGTCGTTTCTGTTTCCAATCCGACTAGTGCCGGTGTTTCAAAATGATGTTCCCGCTGCTGCGCTTGCCCCATTGTCCGATCGGTGTTTCGCTTCGGTTGTCGAAATGGCGCTCTGTACCCAGCGCGGGCCACTTTTCTGCATCCGAGTCTCTCCTCATCGTTGTCGTCTCCCTCCTTTCTCCTCCTCGGCCATCCGCTGGTCCTCTTCTTCCTCCCGCTCCTTCCACTCCAGTTCCCGCTGCTGCTGTTCGTCCTCGTCCTCCCCCTTCCTCCTCTTTGCTCCTCCTCCTCATCATCATCATCATGTTCCTCTTGCTCAGCTCCCCCTTTCCGATTGCGCATAACACGATGGGGTCCCTATGGGAGTTCCCGGTCCGCTACGACGCGCGACCGCGGACAGAGACAAACACAACGCAATGGGAAGGGATGGCTGGGAGGGGTAGGATGTCAGATATGGCGCGAGCGCACCAAGCTTGCCCTCTCCCCCTCTCCCCCCCTTTTCCCTCCGCTTCCCCCCCGCACCCCCCTCCGTGTTCTCTCCTTCTCCCCCTCGCCCGTTTTTCCCCCTGTTCCCCCATTCCCCCTGTTTCCTGTCCCTCTCGCCCCATGCCCCATCCCCCCTCTCCCCTTCCCCACTCCCCATGCCCACCCCCCTGGCTCCTACCCTTCGAGGGTGAGGGCGAGGATCGGGGGACGTCAGCTGGCTACCTCCCCGATCCTATGCTGAGGATCGCTGTCTACGCCTCTCCAGGGTCGGTGAGGTGGCCATACGCTGCCCAAGCCCAGACATGCGATGTCTTGATGTGTCCAGTACTGAGTCCCCAGGCGTCTCGACGCTTGCCCCAGGGCAAGTTTTTCATCCCGAGTCGTTTTCTGACGGTCCCCCCCAAGAGCGGAAATTGCCAAACACCTCCCGCCGTGCTTTGTTTCACGACGCAAGCACGTCTGGGAGAGGAGGGGGGCACCGCGGTCATCTGCTTTGCTCTCTCTCTCTCTCTCTCGCCATTCGGCTCTTCACGCGAACGGCAAGCACCGAATCATGGGGATGTCCTGCGAGGGGGAAGACAAGAGCATCTGGGAGAGGAGGAATTTTGCCGATCGGCGCGGGCCCTCGCACCCCCCCGCATGGAGTAGATCTTGGCTGTGTTTGGCACATTTTCTTGTGGGCGGAGTCTCCCCCACAGGACGCACTTTTGCAAACAGTCGCGCCAAGCAGCGGTCCAGAGCCAGACCCCCCTTCTCCCCCTCCCTTCCGCCCAATGTCGAAACGCCGAATACGAAAACGCTCACCTTGCCCCGCCCCGCTCGCGCCCCCCCGGCCGCCTGGGCACGCCAAGGACTGCGGCCCCCTGTGCCCAGAGGGGAGCGAGTTGCCCGCGAGCGCCAAGCTGCCGATGAGCCATGCGGAGGGGCCGCGCTGCAGCGCAGTGGGGGCGAGGAGGAGGAGGAGGAGGAGGAGGAGGAGCGAGGAGCGAGGAGCGAGGAGGAGGAGGAGGAGGAGGAGCGAGGAGCGAGGAGGAGGGGGAGGAGGCGGCGGCGGTGGCGGCGGCACTGCGCATGGACTCCGCGCGCCCGGAGTCAGGCAGAGCGATCGGGTCGTTGCCCGAACTTCTGAAGGCTTTGTCCCCAGGCCTAGGCGAGCGGCCCCGACCGAGCGTGCCCGGCCCAGCCGAGGCACCAGGCGCACCTCACGCTTACTCCTCGTCACCCAGATCGAGGTTGAGCTCCTTGAAGAGGTCCTGGGATTTCGTCTCCAGGGCTTCCCGGAGGGCCTGGCCGAAGTAGTGTTTGCATTTCATACTTTGGAGGTGCTTGATTACTATATGTTCCAAGTCGACATGTTTTGGATGCACACGAATGAATATGTTCACTTGGCTGGAGTTGCACATCTTCTGAAACTTGCAAGACGGGGCGGCTTCTTGGAGCTCGTCGCTTGCAGGCCCGCCCCTGGGATCACTTGGCGGCGGGTGGGCCGCAAGGGAGCGCCGGGTCGTCTCGAGATCTCCCTGTCCGAGATGCTCTGACGTACTTATTCAATCAGCAACACTATGAATGCCCATGGGTCTGGGCCGCCCTCATCGTGGCCACTCTTGCCCTTCGTGCTGTCGGCGTCGATGTTGTATGCCTGCTTGACTCCCTCCATTGCTGAGCTATCTGCTGCAACCCGGAAGCATATGAACACGACTGCCAGTAGCATGCGTACTTCTGTTTCGTCTGGAGGCGCAGCTTCACGAGGATGGACATCAGCTCCCTGAACTTGTCCGCGTCGTCAGCGCTGCTGGCGCCCCGTTTCTTCCGCGGGGGTTCGGCGGCACTTCCTCCCAGGAAGGCTGTCCATGCCGCGTCTGCTATGCTACCCGTTTGGGACTTCCCCAACATCGATATGACATGTATTCGGTAAGTGAGAAGCCAGATGCCACAGCAAAGAAATGGCAGAGTCGAACTCAATATCGCAGATGTGGCAAGGAGAGAGAGAGGGGAACAACGATATCATGACACATTGTACTGCCTCTCTCCCATCGGGCGCCGCAGAACCCTCGTTGCAAACTCCTTCGCAGATGATGCCTCGCAATGCTGATGGATGAATAGATGGCCCCGCACGCACAGCATTGATTGACACGGCCAGCGCCGCAGCAAGTGTGCAGATGATGATGATGATGATGATGATGATGATGATGATGATGATGATGATGATGATGATGATGATGATGATGATGATGCTGATGCTGATGCTGATGCTGATGCTGATGATGCTGATGCTGATGCTGATGCTGATGCTGATGATGCTGATGATGATGATCATGATCATGATCATGATGGTGGTGGTGGTGACGATGATGCTGATAGTGATGGTGATGATGATGATGATGATGTTGATGAAACTGGTAATGAGGATGATTATGATCATGCTGATTCTGATGATGATACTGCTGATGATGCTGATGATGGCGTTGGTGATAATGATGATGATGATGATGATGATGATGATGATGATGATGATGGTGATGATGATGATGATGATGATGGTGGTGATGATGATGATGTTGATGATGATGATGACGATGACGATGACGATGACGATGATGATGATGATGATGATGATGATGATGATGATGATGATGTTGATGACGATGATGGGGAGGATGATGCAGATGATGGTGATGGTGATGCTGCTGATGATGATGCTGCTGATGATGCTGTTGATGATGATGAGCAGGAGGATGAGGAGGAGGAGGAGGAGGAGGAGGAGAAGGGGGAGGAGGAGGACGAGGAGGAGAAGGGAGGAGGAGGAGGAGGAAGAGGAGGAGCAGCAGGTGGAGGAGCGAGGAGGAGCCGGCTCTTCGGGCAGACGGCGCTGCTGGAGGTGGAGCGAGGAGGACGAGGAGGGAGGAGGAGCGAGAAGGAGGAGGAGAAGGAGGAGGAGGAGGAGGAGGAGCGAGGAGGAGCGATGAGGAGGAGGAGGAGGAGGAGGAGGAGGAGGAGGAGGAGGAGGAGGAGGAGGAGGGGAGAATGAGGAGAAGGAGGAGGAGGAGGATAAAATTCGGTTGCACGTACCCTAAGGTCCGGGCGTCGCAATTTGTTCACGCTGTGCGTTTTCGTTTTTGCTTTGGGCCCAGGGATCATCACAGAGCGATCTGGCTCGAAGGCATCAACATAATGATGTGGTTGAAGGCTCCGGTCGTGACTGTTCGAGATGCTGTCGTTTGTGTCGCATCCGCGGGTCTGAGGGTACCAGCGGTCCTTCGCCGAAGGGGCCATTGGTGCACAGCTTCCGGCGGGCACGCGGGGCCGCACCGAGACACGCAGGCCACAGTCGCCTCGGCGCGCGCGCGCAGCGATCGGCGCGCTGCCCCCGCGCCGCGCACCAGGGGTCACTCCTGCCCAGAGGTCGCTCTTGCGCGTAGCTGGGCGATCGGGTCCCCGTGTTTTTTGTTATCTCGCGCGAGGAAGCCCGCTCGAGTGTGCGACTCGCGTGTCGGGCCCAGCACCTCCTCATGCCTGACAGCTGCGTTAGATGGCGCGCAGCAGCGAAGACGTAGGAACACGAAGAAAGGATAGGAAGGGGGGAGGGCGAGGAGGAGGAGGACAAGTGTCAACCCAAGACTCACCAACGATGTTGCACTAAACCCTCGTGCCCCATTGGAAGACGACTGTTTGAACATCTTGAACCGTGCCAACGCACCTTTCATGGGACTTCAGTGCCGCGCATCAACGTTACTGTTGCGTCCTGACGCTCTTGAACCGTGCCAGAAAGCCGTTCCTGGGACTTCAACTCTTCGAATCAACGTGACCGTCGCGTCCCGACGATCCTACATCGTGCCAAAACAGAGTTTCTGAGACGTCAGCCAGAACAACGCGCGCGGCGCTAAGGCGAGAGCAGCATTTTGAAAAGGCGCCGCCTTCCATCCTTGAAATTCTTGCACACTTTTAAACGCATGTGCGCTGCGCTAAGGCGAGAGCCGCATTTTGAAAATCAGCCGCCCTCCATCCGTTAAACCCTCTCGAAGTTTGAAGACGAATCGGCTTGGCGCGAATGCGAGAGCTACATTTTGAAAGTGGCACGCCCTCCATCCATAAAGCTGTTAACTTATGAGATGAATGCCTGCGGCTCTAAGGCGAAAGCCACACGTTGCAACATTCAAATTCAAGGATCAGCAACTGTGAGAGAGGCCTCAGGCGAAACGCCCTGCCCGCCCTACTGACACGTCTCGGGGTGCGACAGGGAGGAGTATCTTTACGGGAAAGGAATGGAGGAGACGGGGGGGAGGAGGGGCTGCCCATAGAGGAGGGGGAGAGAGAGACAGAGAGAGAGAGAGGCAGGGAGGGTGGTCAGGAAGATAAGCAGGCGAGGTACGAAAGCGAAGGGTGGTGTCAGTCTACGGAGAAGCGGAGGCACCCTTTTCACACCCAGTTGGCCTTGACGCGCTCGGCGGAGGCACGCCCTCTGGGGCGAAAAAAGGGGGCAGCATGTCTGGGCGGTCTGATCCCCGCCGTTCGGATGCCACGCCAAAGCGGCGATCCAACGTGCACAGGGCCGCGTCCGCCACGTTGCGGGAGGAGCAGGATGAGGAGCACGAGGTGGTGGAAGGAGCAGGAGAAACAGGAGGAGGATGAGGAGGAGGAGGATTAGGAGGAAGAGGAGCAGGAGCAGGAGCAGGATGAGGAGGAGGAGGAGGAGTCTGGAAGGTGCGTTATCCGACGAGGACCCCTGCATGGTGCGCACGGGCCTCGCTAGTGCTAGTGGACCGCATGTCGCCGGCAGACAGTTCCGATAGAAAAGCATGTGTTGCATAAGCATAACTTTTCAGAGGTGCGCGCGAAGTTGTTGGATCTGAGCTGTTTCGTGTTGTTGTGCTTGCGCTGTTCCGTCCTTCTGTGTATGCTTGTGCGCTTTGTTTCTTCTTCGAGCAAAACAAGATCAAGGACCATACAGGCAACCCTCGCTTGTGGAATCGAGCAGCCCCGATTTCTCCGAGGATGCAGCCCGAAGCCCGCATCCCCCTCGCCCCCGTCGGGGCAGCATGAAGCAGCACAGGCATGGGAGGAGGAAGGCTCCGGCGGAGCAGGGTCCTGCGGCCTCGGGATCCGTCGGGTCGAGATCATCGGCACGGGGGGCTGACCTGGATCCACCATTTTTGCCGCATCGACCCCCTGGTGGTCCTGGATGCCCTCGGGTACCATCCTGGCCACAAGCCCGGCCGAGACTCGATACGCCTGCCTCGCTCGTTCCATGCATTTTTCGAGGAACGCTGCGGATTTCCGCGGCCCTGAGCAACATTGGCCCCCCTCGTGGCGAACTGACCCGCCAAGGCTTTGCCGAGCAGCTCTGATTCTGTGAGATTCCCGTCGCGCACACCGTCCATGAAGCAGTGGTTCAGCACATGCTTGGAAGGCTGTGGACGAGACATCCTCACGACTGTGCGCTCTCAACCAAAGGTGGGCACGCTGATTCGACATCGAGGTGGCCGCCGCCAGCTTCATACAACATCCTAGGGTGACTTGGCAATCTGAGAGGACAATGCAGCGCCCAAATACATGTACCGAGGCCATATTCATTGCATGGTCCTCGCCGCCCCGCACCGAGTGTGTGACCCTGAACTCGGGAGGGACAGCACTGCAGATCGCTCCGATGAAAAGTTCTTCTGTCGAGGAGACAGAGCGCGCCCACCCTGCTGTCATACCAAAAATCGATGAACGCCCTGGAGTTCCAGGGTTGGGTTTCTTGTGGGAGGTTTCTTGTGGACTGGCCTCCACTGTATGCCCCGATGACCCCAGGGACCCACAGACACTCTGGGGTACCTCAGGACCTTCAAGTATCGACGAAGAGTGTGCACCAGGAGTTCTTACAGCAAGATTTCTTATCGCATGTGCCTGTTGTTGCGGCGATGGTGCAAGGAGCCCCTGC